GAAATCTTTAAAGAAACCACAAAGAATCCTAAAGAAATACTAAAAATAATAATCTTAGTATTATTATAATTAAAATCTTAATTAAATCTTAATAAAATCTTAAATCAAAAGAAAATTAAAATCCTAAATGAACCTTAATCAAATCCTATGTCAAATTCTAATAAAATCCTAATAAAATTCTAAATCTTAAATAAATCCCAAATAAATATTAATCAATTTCTAATCAAGTTTTAAACCAAATCTCAAGCAAATTTTAATCTTGACAAAATCCTAGACCAAATCCTAAGCCCAAAATAAATCCTAGATTTTAAACAAACTCTTAATAAATTCTATGGAAAATAGAACCTCAACAACTAATAATTGAATTATTCATGTCAATTCCAATTTTGTAAACTTTTTAATGTCTTGGATAGAAATAAATACAAAAAAGATGAAATCAATCGCACTTATCAATTGAGAAAAAAATAAGATAATCCAATTAGATATTAGATGGCCTCCTACTCTAATCTAAATATTGAACTTCTAATACCAATATCTCCTTTTTGAAATGTTAAATTTCTCATAAATTCTATTTAAAATATTAAAAATCAAGTCTAGCATTCATACAAAAATAATTCATTTTAATCCAATCAATAGATTATTGAAAATCATAGAAATATTCACTGACCTTCAAACTCTAATTTCTAAGATCTCAACCCACAAAAATCTTTACACACTTTAATTTAATTGTTTGATTGACTTTAAAATTTGCACATACATTAACAACTAGAACACTAATAGAAAGCCTAAAATTCACCCATATATATACTACAAAACTTAAAAAACCTTCAAATTTATAAACATGTTTTTATTTTTTTAAATCTAAACCAACAAAGAACATAACTAACTTTGAAAATCCCTCAAAAATCTAGTATTAACATGATTGACATAAAATTAATGCCTAAAAATATTTCTTTAAGTTTTCTCTCAAATTCTTTTCTCCAATCTACTAAAGGACCTTAGAGTCACCATAAGTACATGGTTTTATGTCTTGGAGTTTGAATTTGATTCAAGTTGACAATTGGTCCTCTCCAGGTATCAATTCTTGGCTTTTTGAGGTAAATTTTGCCAAAATCTATTCTTAACTCCCTCCAATACATACCTATATCATTTCTTATCTCATTTACTTTGATTTGGCTCATTTATGCCTCTACAAAGTAAATAGAAGTCCCTTCTACAAAAAGAAGTATTAAGACTAAATCTTTTATTATCTTTCTATTATTTATTTTTATTTTTTTACTATATCTTTTTGTTAGGCATTTCTATAATAACATCTATATTTTTTTTTTCACTGTATAGTTGTATTATCACATGATAATATATTGTTACTATAGTTTTAAATAATGCTTATCCGGGTATTTTTTTCTTTTTGCATTATAAAAATGATAGAAGTCCAAAATCTACTTATCTCTATACTTCCATCAAAGTCATCATCTATCTTATGTTCTTTAATGCCACCTTTTCATCTTCCAAAAAATAACTCCTTGTTGCAGCATATCATTAAATTCATTGCAATCCTTCCTAATATAAAAAGCATCATTACATCAAATATTCTTTATATATATCTTTGTTTAGAAATAGCCTTCAAATTATTTGTTGAGGTCTTTTTTCAAGTCTTACTAATTTGATTTGAAGATTTTGCATCTCATATATAATCTCTTCAACTCCCATATCTTCTTTCTTTGATGTAGATGCTAGAGATTGAATAATAAGAATTATTGATTATATTATATGCACTTGAATTTAGGTGTTTGTATTATTCGTGGAATATTAATCCTATCCTTCTTTCTTTTTCATTTTCTAAGCAAATCCACTACATCTTCAATATTTCTTTATTTTTTTGTCAATCCTAATAAAGTCTTAAATAAAACTTAATAGATCTTATGTAAATATTAAACAAATTCTAATAAAATATAATAAAAATCCTAATAATTTTAATCAAATATTAAAAATATCCTACTAATCTTAATAAAATATTAATTAAAATCTATTTAATTTTAATCAATCTTTAATTTATCTTAAAATCTCAATAATTATTGATCTTATTTAAAATTGGTCACATATTTTAATTTAATAGTTAACAACAAGTATAATAATGTCTAAAAGAATCTAACTTATTAATTAAAAAATAAAGCTCTTTATTTATTTGGATATTAACTATCTTTTTTTTTTAATCTTATTATTAATCTTTTAACAAAAATAATTTCTTATTGAATTTTCTAGTTGTACATAAATTTAATAAGTAATTAAAAATTAAATTTATAATATATTTACATAATTTTTCTTTAATACAACTACCAGATTATTCAAGATTGAAGAAATTCTTATTTATCCTTGAAATCCAAATTTTGAAATTCTAATTGAATTAGATTTTAATAATCTTCAATCTAATTTTTAGATTAATTTTTAATTAACAAAAAAAATTAAGACAAGGAGATGTACATTTCTACAAATTTTTACTTATTAATATGTTAGAATCTTCATAAAATATCACAAACATAAATATCTACTTTCATAGTTATTTAAATAATATAAATAAATAGAAATAGATAAAAATAGATTAATTTGATAATATCTTATAGAAAAGCTTCTTAAAAGATTATAGATACAATTTCATCTATATATGTGTTTATAGATGATTAATAGATTGAACACTTGACCAAAAAATTAGCTATATGTCATACGTTTTGGTAGCTTGTGGTTAAAGCTACCCATGTAGTATATATATAAAAAACTTGCCTTATAAGCTAAGACATGTGTCTCACAAATTAGGCATATATTGGAGATTTTATAGAATGTTGCCATGAAGCTTCTAGTTAAATAATATATATATATATATATATATATATATATATACATATATATATATGCAAGAGTGAAGCCTTTTTTTATTCTTGTCAATTTCTTTATTGCTTTTAGTTTAGTTTAAAAGGTCTTTAATTTTTTTTGTCTTTTAACAATAACCTTTTTAATTTCTTTTTAATATATATGCTTTCTTATTTCTATTTTTCATCTTTTTTAAAAAAAATCTCACTTATTTATTTTTTTTATTAAATTATTAACCTTGATATAGAATTTTTAAGCATATAAACTTTCTTTTATTTTTTGAAAACCAAAACCACTTAAAACATCTTTTACTTTGAAAGATCTCACAAATTCAATAATAATTTAATTCATTCAAAATTCATGCATAATCATATCTTTTTAAATCTTTTATCTACTCTGACTCTGTAATTAATAGAAGAACCTTGGATTTTTTCTAAAAGAGTAGTTTAATGCCTATGAGATTAGATTTTGATCCAACTTTATAACCAATATTCTATGGATATCAATATTTAATATTTTAAGATAATTTTTATTAGAAGATATTATTTACATCTATTTTAAGATATATGTAATAGAAAAAAAATTAATTTATTCTAATTTATTTTATTTATGGCCTTAAAAAATGAATAGAATTCTATTTAATAAAAATATAATATTAACATTTATTAGTTGTCTATCAAGGACATGAATCATGAAGAATTGAAAGATCAAGATACTCTTGTGTCACTCAAAAAGACTAGATAATCATTCAAAGATAATATAATATTAAACTAGAATGGCTATTGCCAAAGATAATAAGATTAGAAAGTCTTGAAACAAGACTAAGGACTAGAAAGGTGTTGATAAGAATGAAGAAGGCTTCACTTTTGCCTCCATATATACTATCTAACCAGGAGCTAAATGATAATGTTCTATAAGACCTCCAACACATGTTGACTTTGCAGGCTTGTATTATTTATATATATATTATGAAATAATTCTTTACAAGCATATTACTTTTACATCACAACAATACTTCAAATCTCAAAATAATTCTCTAAAAGACTCTTTGTTCTTCAATTGAATCATAGTTATTTTGTATCAAATTTATTTTTACATGTCTTTATAAAAAATTTAAAAAAAAAAAAATTATTTAATATAAGAAATAACTCCTTCAGCATAAGTTTATACCTTAACTTGTACCTCAACTTATTTTCAATCATAAAATATCAAATTATTAAAAATAACTTATTATTAAATAAATAATATATATAGTATTTTTTAATTATTAGAGGTTATTAATCATCAAAAGTGGTAGATTAAAGCTAAGGTGGAAATCATCATTGCTAGGGCCCTATAATCTAAATTACTTGTTTTTATGCTTGCAGTTACATGGCTTTTGTTAAATGCCTCCATTAAATAATAAAAGCCAATTAAAATTAATTAAATATAAGAAATCAAAAGTTGTATGTTATGCACCATAAATTGAGTTGGCTTCCAAAAAAATTAATCAATTATTAAGGATTTTTTATTTTTGAAAGATTAATTATTAAAAAGTACCTTATATATTGAGCATAATAATTTCTTGTGTAATTCATAAAATAATAAACAAGTAACTAAAGAATTGCTTAATTATTTTGATTATTAAATACTAATATATTAAGAAAATAGTCTTTAATACTTGATCCATACTTTTAAAGTTTTTTTGTCTCATTAAAGATAAGAATAATAAAAATCTTAATTTCTTCTTTTTAATTCAATATAAATATATTACAAAACAACATGATCAAAAGATACAACATATGGCTGCATTGAAGGTTAGCAGACATACACAAGCAAAAAATTATACTAAATTGTTGATACAAGTTATAAGGATAAATGAAAATTTTATGTTTTTGATGTACTTATATACAGACATACACATACACACTTTTAGAAATTTGCAAAAATATAGTAGGTACTACAGATGAAGAATAATGAATCAGGGGACTACACAATGAGATTTCAAGACCAATTAGACTGTCTAATCACCTGCTAATAGATCACACATTAGCTCTGATATCAGGTGATTGTACAGGCCAACCAGACTTCAAACCTTGATTCATACGTTTTGCATTCACGTTAACACCATACATCTTCCAGCAAGGGAGTTCATATTGCGTTTCAAAAAAATATTATATATTTGTATTGAATATCCAGATGCATCTTCGATACATGTTGATTGGGTTTGCCCCACCGTCATGTGACTAAGAACAAATTACAACGCTTCAGTTGATATCAATCCATAAAGAAAGCTACTGATCTAATGTCTACTCTTGAGAGGCGCGAGGACCAATGCATAACTCAATACTGATCTTGGATGTGTGTCTCTATAGTGTGTGTAGATCCCTATCTATCATCACCTGCCAAATCGTCGCAGTTCCAGGATTAGATCCTATTGTTTACGATCATCGTGATCGTTATCCTTGAAGGGTTCCAGTGCCGGGACGTCGCCGTTCTTCTCGTGGTTAGATTCAACGGGGAGAGTTGCGGTAGCAGAATCATATACCCGAAGCAACGCGTCTTCGGCTTGTTTTTGCCAGTTCGTCCTTAGGGTCAGGATAGAAAGAGCAATCGCCTGGGTGACGATACCTCCAACCATTCCTATCCACAGACCCCGACCTTTAAGGTCGAATACAAATGCGAGAACGATTGCAGATGGTAGACCGACGACGTAGAAAGCGCACAAGTTAGCGGCGGCACCGAACGCCTGCCAACCGCAACCACGCGCTACTCCTGATAGAACCCCCTGCAGAGAATCCATGATGTGCATGAAGGCAAGCAATGGGATGCACCGTGCCACGTACTGAATGACTTCCTCTTCGAATGTGAACGCTGTGCCCCAAATGTACCGCGCAAAGTACATGATTGTTGCCATCAGAAGACCTTCGGTGAGACCCATGCCGACTGCGATTAGAACCGCGCCTTTAGCAGCCTGAGGTCGTCCGGCGCCGAGCTCGTTGCCCACACGAGTACTCACGGCCGCACCAATGCCGAAGGGGATCATGTATAGCAAAGCTGTACTCGTTAGGCAGATTGAGAGAGTGGAAGTTTCCAGCTTGGGGTTTGGCAGCAACCCAGAGAGGAGCACAAGGCCTTCGAAAGACCAGTACTCGAGACAGATCATGATTGCAGAGGGGATGGCGAGTTTGGTGAAGGCTCCGAGTTCATGGAAGGCATCGGTGGACAGTGATGTCCATGACTTCCTGCATCTTGGGGAGAATTTGATGTAAAGAGCCATGAAGATTGCATTCATCCAAGTTGCTAGGCTTGTCGCGATCGCGGCACTGCGATATCCGAACTCAAGCTTGAATATCATAACCCAGCAGAGGGGAATCTGAATAAGTACTGCAGCAGCAGAGAACAGTGCCATTGGCAGCACAATACTCTGAGTTTGCAGAAATTTCACCATGGGTTGTAGTGTAGCGGCACCGAACAAAGTGGGCACCAAGTATCTGGCGTACACTCCTGCTAGTGCGGAGATCTCAGGGTCTTGACCTAAATGTATGAGGATAGTGTCCATGTTCCACCAAACGACTGCGATCGGTACGCTGACCAGGTACAGAACGAAAATCGCACGTTGCATGTGAATGCCCAGCATATGGTACTGTTTTGCTCCGTACGCTTGGCCGCAAAGTGTCTCGAGTGCGGAGGCCATTCCAATCAGCAAAGTGGTTCCCGTTACATTGGAAAATGAGCTCGCAATGGATGCACTCGCCAACTGCAGCTCTCCCAGATGACCAACGAACATGACTGAGACCACAGTAAGCAAGTATTGCAGCAGTGAGACGCAGACCATAGGAGCGGCGATGTACACTTGCTTCTGGACCTCTCCCCAGATCCAATCAGGCGTGAGAGCGATGACCTCATCGCGTCTGCTGACTGATCTGGTGACGCCGTTGGCGAAAGTGAAAGTGTGTCCCTCGTGGTGGGGTATTACGACTGACGACTGCAGCAGTGGTTCCTGCAAGTTGTCTTGTTGATCCTCCATGGCTTTCTGTGTCTCGAACGCCCTCTCAATATGGACTCCAGATGGAAGTTACTGCTTCGTTTCAACTACTGCAGAAGAAGCACATGCGTACAAGAAGTCATTACCACTACATTGTGGTCATCCCGAGTTTCTTTTCTAACAGACACATACACTGCAGTACTGAGTTTCTAAATGTAGTGAAATCATCATATTGTTGAATCATAAAAGATAAAAAGAGTCGAACCAAAGAAATTCAGTACGAAGGAACTGGACAATTGTAATCGGGTGTTTTTAGAGATTGAGTCCTCCCATCAACTGGTGAACGACTTGACTACTCAGTTAAATAGCACTCTAAATATGCATGCGGACACCTTTTAATGACAGAAAATTCAATCTAGTGACGTTGAAACTAGCTTCAGATGGCACAGTACGCATTCACTTCGCGCTAAGCTGTCTCAAAAATTCATTCCAATAGCAAAACAATCACTAGTTAGGTCCCTCCCGAAGGAACAGTATTCAACAGAAATACACGTCTTCCTACAATATCCCGATCTGTTTGCACTAGAATCTGCAAACTAACCAATAAGGTGACTGTCGAACTCGGCAGCTTCTGCAGCTCTCAGGGTGCCCAACCACTATATGCATTCAATTGGCGGCTAACAGCTTACGAGAATGAGTTACGGTGGTGGTTGCCGCAGCGATCGAGAGATGACACGGACGTAACGCAGGATTCTACGTTGTCTGAGCCGAAAACTGCATCTAAACCATCGGTCGAGGTGGAGAGGCTCAATCGACAAGAGCAGTGAAGAGTTCAGGCCACCTACTGAATTTCACGAGGATGAGGAGCCCATGCGTTTCGCACTGCCCGGATACTCCCCCGCCTGGTGTATCACCAGCTGCTAATAAGGAAGGGGTTCAGTGCTCAGGCGCGGAGCAGAGCCCTTGCTGGAAACTGACACCGTCTTAATGCATGTGCCGATCATTATATGGATTGCTCAAGGACTTTGTAGAAAGACCAAGGGTGCGCATAATCTAGGAAAAGGATGCTTCCGACGCTGGCAGCCGTGGACCACACAAGCTGGGTTTGGACACCGGGGGGGGGGGTGATGAAAGACTGAGGCTTAAATTACCTGAATCTCCGCTACCACTCTCTATTCTTACCCTTAGAGATTTATTAATTAATAACTTGTCTCTTACTAGATTTATATGCCACAATTTTTCCATGTGCTCATATTAATAAGCAGTATCCCCCCCCCCATTCTGCAGTCCTACTAAAAGTTTATAAGAAAGTTGTTCGCCCAAGGTTATTGGATCTTCCTTGTTCCGAAACTGGATAAATTTGGGTGGAGAGGCACCACAGAAGCTCTTGATTTGGTGAGCGCTTTGTGCAAAAACGATCGACTTTTTTAATTAAAGTATATGTAGTCATTTTCGATCCAAAACACGAGTATTTTATTGAAAATACCCATTTTGTATGGCTCACATTTGGAGGCGTTGTCCATGTGTCAGTTAACTGTTCACCGTATCAATCCCAGCCATTCAATAAAAGACGAAAGACAGGGAAGGCAAGACTACGGAAGCTCATCCAGCACTTTTGGCAAGTGGAGCCATCACTACGTTGAACCGTCATTGCTTTCAACATCGGCGACGGCAGTTTAGCTAGCGATCAACCTGGGCACTAACAAGAGTGCCAAGAGCTTCAAAGGCTTGGACCACGATAGAACTTTGTCACAGACAAATCACAATCTCCGTGAGGCTTTTGCACGAGCGTCCCCAGGTCGTAAGTGAGATAGGCATTTTGTTGAAGGCTTCTGGCCGAAATTCAGCCATCTGAGCCCGGGAAAGCATCAGATCAGTTGAATCAAACAGGCACCGGCAGGACGGATCAGTTTTGCTTGAAGTGGACCTGTGAGGTCCACAGCTTGAATGCATCGAGGCTCACCACTCACCCAATTTACTGTACACAAAACTCCGCTTCCACTCGAAAAATGACACCCACACAGGTGAATGAACGAATGACGTGACATGATATGACATAATATAATGTAAGCTGAGAAGAGGAACTGGCTACCCTCGCAGCTGATGACTTTATTGCACAGAGACTATTCAGGCGGATGAATTCTAAATGGGTCCTGAAAAGTATCTACCACATATCCAGAATATGTTATTATTATTAAATACTGAGAACAGAAAACAAAAATAAGACTGCTCGACATTGAAGTAATCTGAATAAACGTTTACATCAAAGTCAATTGGATTGCAACACCTGACAAGGGAAATTAAAGATATCATTTTTATAGTAAAAACAATTAACACTGGAAATGATGAAAGTAAATAAGGTTGACAAAATGTGAGGGTTAAACAATTAGAATGTGCTTACAAATGCAAACTGATAGTTTGTTTATTTCTTCTTATATTTATCCCAAGGTCGCGTCTAAGAAAGCAATCTCAAAGCAGATTAATCAAACATGTTATGTGTAGGATTTCATCGGCTTCAGTGTCGACTCAACACGCAGCACGGAATATTCAGTTGAGGATATTTCATACGTCGGCACCGAGTTCATCAGCCTCTCTCTCACTCACTCACTCCGTCACACACACTCACCGGAGGTCTGGCTCCATGAAGCAGTGAACGAGGGGAGGAAGGGCGGCTGCTGTAAGGGTGGGTAGAGGCGAGCATCATGTGAAGGCAACAAGGGAGTGGAGTGGCCAGCAAGCGAATTCAAAGCCCAGCACACGAGCGGTAAATGGAACTACTTTTGCAATGCGGCGAGGATCATGTGCAGGGTCGATGATGCCATATCCAACTCGGCACGGTCCGGCTCCTCCGGGGTGACGCTCGCCTGCGTCGACAGCCCCAGGCGCATGGCAAGACACTTGTGGGGCTCGTATGCCTGCTGGTGCCATGAATCCCTATTCTCCATGCGCTGCAACTCGGTGCCTCGGGGGGTCGTGCCAGTGAGTGAATGGGAGTGAGAGTCAGTATGAAGGTATATATATATATATATATAGTACATATTTTTTAACATAGTATTGTTTACCAGGATTCTGAAAGGCTTAGCCATTACTTTGGAACTCTTCATGCTTCATTGTACTCACATATATTGGGAAAAGGGAGTTGGACAGTACATACTTTCACTAAGTAAAATCGTGGCTCTCATGGATTGATTTACAAATACAATTCTTTATCTATCTTTTGTGGCGGAAAAATATAGGCCAGTATCATACTACACAGATATAAATGTTTATTTATTCTCAAAGTACAAGTGGTACAACAATTGTTAAGTCCTTAAAACTACATATTTGAGTCATTGGTAGCAATTTATTCCAAAACTATCCAATTTAACAATTCTCTAAAGAATGCTTTAATTGTAACGCATCCCAAGTCAAGCTTGGTTAAGGTAATTCTTGCTTCATGCTTAGATTTGTTGCTTTTAAGGCAACATTTTGTACAAATTAAACTCAGACGTTTGACTAATTGCAGGTCCTCAAACACCCTTGAGTATCCAAAATATGGTGAGGCCCCTTAAATAAATTCAAAACGCTTCAACTTACCATCTCTGACTCTAAGCATGCAGAAGTTTCTCAAATAGAATATGCTTGGCATCCTTCAAAAGATATCAACAATATGGAGTTTCAGAGCCTCTTGCCTAGATTACAACACTCCGCCTGTAAGTTCTTTCTTTATAAAACCCAGTTGCTCTTCACATATTTTAACCTTATTTTATTAGTAATGGTGTCCTTTCAAACTTGCAACATTTCCTAACAAGTCTTTTGACATCATGTTCGATGTTGTCTTCTCAAATTCGGAGGCTTTGGATAATATATTCGAAGGATGTGCACTCATTTTCTGGTGAAGTTATCAGCAAGTCAACCAAATCAGTTAAGTACAGAAATATGTTTGTAGAAGTACGTGGACATACATCAATGAAACTTCGTAGTGCGAGAAAGTCTTACGTTTTTTTTGTGTAAGATTTGGTTAAAACAATGTAGTCTTAGATTTCTTTTTTAAAATTTTAAAAAGTTATTGCTGACATTTTAATTCTTGATCCGAATGTTGGTAGAGTCTTTAGTTTATATATATTTGTTGATTTCTAAAAATATTTAGTACTTTTCAAGTTTTTCTTTGAAATATTTTCTTTGTGCTATTTTGTTATGTAATGCAAATTAAATTAATACAAGTTTTGTATGTCTTATTTTTTTCTATCATGTGTTATGCTTTTTAGTTCAATCTAATTTAATTAACATATCTTCAATTTTTAGAAGAGACATTTATTTTTACACCTTTCAGATTTGAATAAAAAAATAATTGTTTATTTATATTATTTTACAAGAATGTATTGTAAAATTGTGTGTGTTTGTATATATATAAATAAATATATTTTGATAAATCACTTAGTAAGAATTCCCTACATGTAAAAACACTTTAACATCTTCGAAGTATAATAATAATACTCTTGTATAAAACTATAAGATGCATCCGTTATCTGTCCCACGGCAACTAAATCGAGGTGCAAGTCCAGTGCAAGTAGGTGGTGATATTTTATTTTCTATTTCTAGAAGGAGGGCAGCTGATTGCAGGTAGAGGCAGAGGTTGAATTGCGCACACTTTGCGTCCACAACCCCCACCCCCAGCCGCCCTCTTCTCGCTATCCAGACCTTCGAGACCATCCTCAGATTTCATAGATGGTGTGAACGATTTTTACTAAATGGTGTGGAATGATGGGTCGATTTAGTAAAAATATGGGTCGCTTTAACATTCCCCTAAAATTATATTGTACAACTTGTAAACATGAATAAAACCCTATTTCTAACCTTGAACAAACTACTCAGTTGGAAGAATGAATCTTATTTTGTACTGTCTCGCTGAATAGAATTGTGATTAATTTTTTTTTGCTGATTTCAAGCATTGGTGGCATACTTGAGGTTGATGCATGAGTAATTTTGCCAATATGAGAAAGAATTCAGTGTGTGTGTTTTAAGGAAAAGGAGATTATGGAGCCGCATTAACAAGAGTTGCAAAATAGAAAGGAAAATTAAGAGATCTACTGGCCACTCACCCTCATTTGGATTCTGAGCGACACAGAAACTGACTTAGAACACTTCAATACATTGTCATACAGAATAAAAAAATCAATATTAAAAATCTTTGAGCTCATAAAACTGAAGAATACATACAAAGTCATCACATGAAGACCCTGTTTCACTGCTACTTTAAGATCTGTTGTCCACTTGCCGGAGGTGGCTAGTCAATGTGGACAAGACAATGGAATTCGCCTTCGACTCACCTCCTGTTGCGATCAGATCGAAATGCTTTGCACAGTTGGGTGTTTGATGCAATTCTTATCACGTCCAGGAACATTGATGACCACACCAGCAGCCTTTGAGAATTGTCATGGTGGCTGAATGAAAATTTCACGAGGTCTGAGAGTTCCGTTACAAATTAAAACTCCGACCGTTATGCCAACGGAGCTTCAGTTCAGTCGTCGTTAACCCTGTAATTGTTGCTGCTTCTAAGCTTCTTCATGCATCTGCTGTCATTACTGGATGATTACTTATATAATTGCAGGCCGTCTTCATAGCCCATTAGAAGTCCTCTTCCACTTAGATGGTGTCAGCTGTCTGGTGCTTCGTCATCATCGCCTCAAATTCCATCTCAGTAACTGCACGTTCAAAAAACCGCAAGTAGGCAAATATCTTGTGTGTTAAATTGGTTATGACTACAACTATCTAACAAGAAGCCGAAACTTGTGCAAGACTGATACTGAAGTCATCACAAACGAGTCATCTTCTCATCGAACAAACTCTTGGCAAGTTGGATTGCGCGGTCTATAGGATAGATCGTCAAGCTCAAGATGCAGACGGCCCACTGGATGGTTCATGGCCAGTCCCAAATTTTTTTGGTAAGTTCCTACAGTGGTGGTTGATTTTGTAAAAGTCAGAAACGTGTATAGCTTACCTTCGCCATCCCCGTCCATGTCACCTGCACACACATCCCAATAGACATGACAGTTTAGATTCAGAAGTTCAATTCTGGGAATAGCACAGAGTTGCATTAAAAACAGCCTCACAAACTTAATTGTGTGCCTTCAACAGTGAACCCTACTGGCAAGACATGCTTCAAAGCCAGTCATATGTCTTGAAAAAATTCCAAATCGTAGAGTATACTATCTGGAAAATCCTTGTGTGACTTCTAGAGCTGTTTGCTTGAACATTCTAGGAAAAAGAGGCTACCTACTCACAATCATATATATAAAACAAACTTACACTCATGGATCATGGCCTCAAGCTGTTCATCGGTAAAGGTCTTTCCGATGTCTCTGGACACTTTCCTCAAGTTCTTCACCTGCTCATGGCAGACCATCAATGTACGCACTCAAACCAAGAAATTGTATTATGCGCCTTCGAGTTTTCAATAGAGTCAGTTATAAATTAGGCCGTTGCATTGGTGGACGGGATTTTATCGAAGGATAACCTAACAAACCGTTGTAATCAAAACATTCGTGCTCTGTTGGTGTCTGCAAAAACCACAGCTGAAACAACAGAAATACAATATTACAGTATCAGGATCGAATTATTTTTCTTGAAAGCTGTTTAAGGAGCTGGGATGTTTGTACTCACTGATACTTTACCCCTGCCTTCTTCATCAAACATTTCGAACAACTTGCCCGCTCTCGCGTGCGAGTCTAGTTTCTCCTTGAACTTCATGTTCACTTTCATGATTTGAACAACCAGAAATAAAAAAGAATCAGTACACGCGAAACAAATGTGCAATGTCCCACATTTATGACATGTTTTTTGTCCTTAGAAAGGTGAACATGAATAACCAGGATATCGATTAATTGCAAAATAAGACATTAACTGCTGATCTTAATGACAATTTCCACGCTTCCAGTAACACAATCTTGCAATTCAGATTTTGCATTAAAATAATAAAAAGTATAATCATCACAAGAACAGCTTGGCACTTACTGATTTGCAGAAACTCATCGCTATCAATTTCACCATCATTCTCCTTCGAATACTGGTACATCAGCTTTTGCACGTCCGCTTTTTTCACGTTGCACTCCAATCCTCTTATTGCTGCCTGAATCATCGAAGTCCTTGAAAGTGATCTTTCATGTTCGCATGACGGACAGAGCATACCTCGGCCCCAGTCTAAGTAAAGAGTAAAAGCACACCACATGGTACAGCTGCGAATTTCACCTTCAGGTCTTTATAGTTAAGCTTTCCAAATTTGCGGGAATCGAAAAGCACAAATGCCAATCTAATGTCGAGCTTCTCAGAGTAACTGAGGTCGAAATAATCGTTCTTTCCGACCGTTTTGGGGGTGGCGGCGTACGCTCCAAGGCGAGAGCCCAGTGGTATGGACGGCGTTGAAGATGGTGGATTCCATGAAGGCCTCCTCAGACGTTGGAAGTCTTGGGGTTGATTGTTTGTAGTGGCCATGTAGTCAGAAAATTCCTACCTCTTGGAACTATTTAAGATCGCCACGAGACGGAGTTATGGTTACCAATAAATATTATTGTTGAAGATGTGCTGCATCAAAGATTCATGATTCTTGTCGAAGATTACAAGAAATTACCCATTCAGCTTGTACAACACAAGCACTGCCATCAAGAGCTTCACAAATCTGGTGAAGTGGTGAAGGCCAGGGAGTTGAGTTGCTGTAAGGGCGAAGGCTACATTCTTTCATCAAAAGAGTAGGCTCTTGTGCACAGGAGAGCACATTTAATAATCAAAGAAATAACGCCATCGTTATCATCTATGCAGTCTGAAGGCAGATTGCTGTTCCTCAACCAGTTGCAAAAGTCCTTCAACTTCACAGCTTCGTCAGTCTAAAACTCATACGTCTGAAGTTAGAAGTCAACATTGGCCTTAATCTCGTCAGTGTGGAAGCTAGATTCCGTTGCCGCTGTTAACTTGAAATTTATGTTTTTTGTCCTTCGACTGGCCGAACATTGAGTCTATAATCACGCCTAAGAATATGGCTCAGCGACACAACCACAGATACTCTTAGAACTCAGCAAACGCTTTCAGAACACATCTCACTTCACTTCTCCACACATGTATCCCAACTACTGAAAGTAGAAGTACAAATTCCTCGAATGTTACAGAAGGTGGAATGACACTATCCCAATCAAGAGGTGCGCCCAACAAAATGCTGATCACTCTCACGGTAATCATGTGGCGAAGGAGGGCGCCGAACAGTTGGTGCCAAACCCTTGCTCTTCCCCCTCTCTTGGTGTTCTTGGCTTCACACTTTGAACGTAGGACATAACTGTAAAAAAACCTTGCTTACTCCATAATTCCGGATGCTACCATTAAAACCACCTTGTCGCTTCATACATGCTACACATTTTAAAATCATATTCACGTGCTTCGGTCTACACATGACTTTCTGCACGTCTGAGTGAATATTATAACATAGCACATCCTCGGACACACTAAATTTGATGCTCCGCGCGTCAACAAAAGACCCCCATTAGACATATTCCCACGAACCTAACCTCAATTCCTGTCGACTGCTATAGTTAAGTGCCAAACCATCCCTCTGCGAATTCGAATCAATAAAGATGCTTGGAGCAAAAGCGTTCTTGGAATCCAAACAAACCAAGCTGGGTGCGCTCCAAAAAGACCCAACGAGAGAGGAGGGGAGAGGAAGAAAGGGCATCAACAGCCAGTATAAACCGACAACAACCATAGGATTTTCCGACCCACGGCATATCAACGTTACGGCCAGACAGTGCCCGCCACGTAATGTGCCACCTCTGCAGGGAAGTGACCGGGAGAAAGCAGGGGATGGTGCTCAGATTTGCCAATAGACTGACTGTGCCGATCGGAGCATACCCCCCACACTGCAAACAGGGCAGTGGTGACGAAACCCACTCAAGGTGGAGACACACACATTACAAACCACGTGGTTGTGGCGCCAAAGCTCGAAACCCTCTCGTAACTGGTTCCCTCCTTAGCTCTTTACTTAGTTTGCAATGGAGCATTCAGGGTCTGCTCAGGTGCGTGGCATGATTTCCTTGCGCTTCTGTCGTTTGCGAGGAGGACGTGATGGACTTTTTGTTTGTTAGTTTTGGAAATGTTAGGGAAAAGCTGGTGTTGCTGCTTGGTTGCGATGGGTGAGCTTCGGTTTTTGGGTTGAGGAGATTGGGTGTCATTGGGATGTTAGTTTAGCTGTTTCTAAGGTTGTGCGCTCTTGTATGTTTGAATTTGTAGGGGGTAACTGATAGAGTGTACAAACTGTTACGAATTACAGTTGGGTTAGAATTTGCGTGCTGTGATGGTTCGAGTGTGGCGCACGATGTGAAATTAGGTGGGTTGAACGATGTAAGGAGTTGCTCCGCTGAGAAGTGGACTATTCGGGGATTAGTTTCGAGAATAAGTGCATACTGTGTACGTATGCGGTGAAATTTTGTGCGTTTTGTGCTGATAGGAACATTCTTAGCATATGTTCTTTATTTTTTTCATTTTTTAATGTTTTTATGAGCGAGCTCTAGCTGCCGGGACTGTAGAATATGTGAGAAGCACATGGAGAAAGGCGATTATTAACTATTGCGCGGCTCTTATGACCCGAACATTTGTTTCTGTTTAAAAGATTAGGGTTTCTCTCGCGGTTTGGTCGTGTTTCCTAACTAGGCTCCTCCGTGCACAACAGTTGCGAGTTTCGTGCAGTGGCAAGATTAGGGGTGTCACGAGATTGGAACATGTACGCTTAGATAAAAGATAAAGTCGCACTATCTACACTTCTCATTGATATTGTTGTGTTATTATGTTTTATGTTACCTTCGAGGTGCTATCACATCTACGATCACAAACTTTTGTGCGATTTTGTCGAACGCAATTACGAACATTTGCAGACTTGGCAGGATTATCTCATGATCGTCACCTGGGTTATCTCATCATAGTGACTACGTAGTAGTAGATCATGAAATCGAAATATTAGCAGCTTTGGACGTTGCCTTTAACGTTGTCTTTGCCTGCCGTATTGTCTTTGCTGCTCCTTGTGTACAAGGTTGATCATCCAACGCATATGCCAATGTCCCTGTCATAGGCTTGTCCGCAGGATGCTTCCGTCGATGCCGTCGGCGATGTAAACATCACGAAGTCTCAGGATGCAGTTATAGCTGAAATTAGTGAGCAGTATGTGGAGGAGGCCAGTACTGCAGAGGTGGGTAAAAGGTCCGCAGCAACTGCAGAGTCTGTGCAAGGTGCGTCAGTCGACCCTGCCAGTGTGCAGATTGCTGTGGGAGGAATTGGAGATGTTCCTGGAATCGTGCATCAAGAGTTGCCTTTGGAAAGGTTTAATAGCTTAAGTCAAAGAGACGGCTACGAAAGCAGGGAGGCTTCCAATGGGACCGGCCTCTATGGCTATGATGAGAAGGAAGAACCAGGTACGAAACTATGAGGATTGAGTGATGGGATATCATTATTTCATGGAGAGGGATAAAATCTTCGAAAAACAGTAAAAAATGGCATCTTTCTTCAAGCAGTTCAATGATAAATTTATTGATCACTTACAAGCCACTGCGGTACTTGTTGCAAGGCAATTTTCTCATCGTGGGTCGTCTTTTAGCATATATCTGGTCCTTTTCCCGTCATTGTGACTGGACATTATGGAGGTCATAATACTTGATTCAAGGTGTACACAAACGTGATAGAACCAGTATCACAAGCGTCTACTATAAGTTAATGGACGCGAATTATGCTTGTTTGCGTCTATAGTCTAGTATTCAATAGAATGCAAAGGTTGACGTGTGTGTGAATTTGATTGTGGAAATTACGCGTCAAGTTGTAGTTGTTCTCAGTGGTGATTTTTTACGGTGGTGGAAGTGTTTAAATTTTTTAATGGTTTTACACTGCATTAGGTCCAACGGCAGAAACCATCTATCGAACTGAGGATGCACTGGAAGTATCTAAATGTGAGGAAAAAAATAATAGCTCTGACGCGCTTCAAATGGAGGAGGTATCTAATGAAGCTAGATCCAAAGTAGAGCAACGTCCCGCATTATCTGGAAATGTGGATGTCCAGAAGCCACCTCTGCCAGAGGAAGCTAGGTCTCTTTCTAAAAGTGATCAGAAAGTATTAGGAAGACAGGAACGGTATAAGCAGACAAAATTACAAAAGAGGGCACAAGATAAAGCAATGAGACATCAAGAAACAGAGAAGAAGCGGAGAGAGTGGCAGGAAAAGCTCGCGAACCTTTCGGAAGATGAAGTTCAGAAAGCAAAAGAAGAGAGAATGGGGTTGAGGGCTTCTCGCAAAGATGAACGTAAAGTGCGAAAGGACAAGCTTATTCAAGTCATGGCAGATGGGCAGAATATTGTCATTGATCTCGAGTTCGTTGAGAATATGAAACCAAACGAAATCTCGAGCTTATGTCAACAGGTTTGTATTCTCGCAGATCATCTCCTAACTGTTCCTATCGTAAGTTGCTTCTTGGAAGGTTACATCGGTGCAGTTCAAATATGTCTTGTGTTGCTAGCTGCTGATTCTGTGGAGGTTGTACAGGTGGTGCACTCCTATGCTGCAAATGGAAGGGCTGAAGTTCCATGTCGCCTGTCATTAACAAGCTGTACTAGCACTGTTCGGGAACAGTTGAAGATGCATTATGGGTTTGAGAGTTGGCTTCTGCACAAGGAATATAAATCTTACATTGATGTTTTTGAGGGTAGGAAAGAGGACCTTGTATATTTGACAGCTGATTCAGAGACTGTTTTAGAGACTGTGGACAAGACCAAAATCTATATTGTGGGTGGATTGGTCGACCACGATCGATGGGATGGAATCGCTGCTGAGAAAGCAAAAAACCAAGGTATCTCTACTGCAAAGCTTCCAATCGACAAACACATGCTAAGCTCTCAGGTAAGGAAGTGGACCAACACAATGTTATATATGTTGGTTGCAATAATACCTTCATGTTTAAGGCTTCTTGTCTTGTGTACCTTATTTTCTTCGAATTAGTTAACATCCGAGTTATTCTTTCATGCTTAATTGTTTCTTGACGAAGGGCTTCTTCCTGCGTGAGACGTTGATAAGTTAGATCTCATGGCCATTCAACCTTGGCCTCAAATGCTTCACCTTGATGGCAGCAAATCAGGAGAAGTAGAAGAATGCGTCAGCATAAATAATTTTTTGATTGGTTCCTTTTATGCAGGTCTTGACGGTGGATCAGGTGGTCGACATCTTACTACAGTTCATGAATATAGGAGATTGGGAAAAGGCTGTGTCAACAGCTATCCCACCCCGAAAAAGAGTTGCTTCTGACCCACTCGAGGGTGCGTCAAAGCAAACCAAGTGTGACTCGGACCAAATGTCATCGAAGAGAGGAGATTCAGCTATGGACGCGATGTCTGAAGTAGGAGATGAACCCATGGCTAATGAGCTAGCAAGAGAAATGAGCATCGTTGACTCAGCATCTCAATCGGCCAGTTTTTCTGAGTCCTCCGTCGACGGTCTCAAGTCTTAAAAGACACTCATGTAGTTTTAGATTTTAGTTTAGGATCTTAAATTTTAATTTTTAACACTTCATGATTTGGTTTGTATTTTTACCTAGACACTCGTAGATTAAAACACATCGATATACGGCATGCTACACAGGGGCAATGACATTTTAGGACCCTGGAAGCACCCAGCTTGCTGAATCAACGTTGTAATCGAACTTCTCTGTAATTTCTCGCATTCTGTGCTACAGTTCTTGTAGCATTTGCTAAGTAGAATGCACAAAAAAGAGCTTCTTATGCATCTTGCTATCCTGCGCTAGTTGCACCGATTCTCATCAATCGTTCCACTAAGTTTAGTCGCTCAATCTCACAGGTACAAGCTTAACTAGAGAATCGTGTTCCTGATTTCAAAGTTCGAAAATTTTCTTAGGATTACAGTTCGTGACTCTGGGTTTCAATGCGTATAGATGGCAGCCCAGAAGATAATTCCTCCCATAGTATAGATGGTTCCTAGAACTACCTACTCGATAGAACAATTACGACTGTAACGGTCATCTTGGGTGAGAATGGACTTACTGGTTTACAATTGAGGCGTGGAACAATCGACGTCTCCAGAGGAAATGTGGCCTTCGCGCGAAGCTCATCTATCATGCTATCACTCAGTGTAAATAATCATACTTCAACTATTTTTATTACTACTGTTTGTTTCTTTGTGTTAGATTTTACAAATATTCCCCATTATCAATGTGTGGAATCAAAGAATGAAGTATAATATACAGATAAAAGCATTCAAGTGCCATTAATTTTGGTGTATACAAGTGCTTGCATGCTTACAAGTGCATATTACAGTTAATTATCTCAAATATCCCATTAACATCCCAAGTTAAAATATATCAAGACAAAATTGTTTCTTATACAAAGAACTCAGAATCTGACTTCTGATTGTACATGATAAAGATAACAATAATATTTGTGGTTTTCTTTCTTTCTCACCAATTTACTCAAATATCATCTTTATAATCAGATTACTTGTATTTTATGAAATGCAAGATATAGAAATGTAATATATATATATATATATATATATGTTACCCCTGACTGTGCAAAAAAAAAAACTTGGAGATGAACCAATACAAAAAAGAGGATATTTAATACTTATAGAAGTTTGAATGTTGAATCAATTTTGAATCAAGTTAAATCAAATTTGAATCCTTTTGTTATAAAATATCCATGTTGGTGAAAAATAATTAATGGGTAAATTTTTTTGAGTTGTAAAAATTCTTCCTAGAAACAAAGTCATCATGTACATTGAGTGTTGTTGAGTACAACAACAAAAAAAGATAATCTTTGAAGCAAGAACGATGGTTGAAAATCAAAACAAGTGGTTGTCCTAAAATGTCATAATGTAGTCAAAAAGTATTTTTACAAAACTTTGCAACTTTTTAGGAATTTGGGGGTGGGGGGGTGGGTGGGGGGGGTTGAATATTAGAGAAAATTGAAGGATTTGGGAGTATGGAGAGAGGCAAGCTCCTGAACAAACTTCAGCAGCATGCCCTTTTGTTGTGTACAATGTGGATGACTGTGGGCCCATTGAGGAATGCAGCCCAACTGAGGTAATGAGCCCAAATGCAACCCAACTCAGTAGGGGAAACATCCGTTGGGTTGGAGTTGAATTTTGCCGTTAAGATCATTGGAAAGCCAGCAACAGGCCCTACGTGATATAGATATCTCAGATTGCTTGCTTTATATCCGTTGCCTGGTTGTAACTTGCTTTCGGGGGAGTTTGCATTGCAGCCTTCCATGATTCGAAATCCTGCAAGTCACCCTCTTGTGAAGGTTCCAATGGCGGCGGGTAGAGGAGGGGGCGCTGTAGATTTGAACAGACTGAGCATCAATCATGTACGTAGGCTCATGGGTCGATCCTTGAATTCGAGTGTGCTGTTGTTTTTCGTTCGAGATTGAGCATATATGACCACATTTGTATATGGGTCTGTGTGATTTGCTGTCGCGAAGCGTTTCTTAGCTCTTTAGAAATTTTGGGATATTCAAGTGTTGATTTTATCTTGGAATTTGAGCAAATCCGACTATTGGGTTCGTGTTATAGGATGTACTGCGACAGATCGCTAATGCGTTATGTAACGCAACTGAGTTTGGAACGAGGATTGAAGGACTGTTTGATTGCTCTCTCAAACAATTATGGTGTAGCACGTTTTTTTTTGTTGTTTTTGTTTCGTTGGATTCCATTCGTGCTTGTGTGGGAGTTAGGGGATCACGTATCGTTAATGGAGAAGAATCTGCAACGATTTCTGTGGTGATATGATGAATGTCGAGGGTTCGCAGGTCTCCGCTTAGCTCAATACATTGCGTTGATTAATCTTGAACACAGGTTTTAAGATACACTAAATGACTGCTGAAAAGTAAGGCTATCCGAGTTGCACTTCAGTATTTTGATCTGTAGGAGGGTTTTGGCATGCTGCTCTTAGCAGACACAAACCCCAGCCTGTGATGTGATTTGGAATTACAAAACCGCGGGAGCAGAGAACTCTAATGCGAGTGCGTAGCTGGAAATAGCATAGCATTTAGTTTGTGCAGTAGTCTTCTCAAACGTAATTACTGTTCTCTGGATTTTGATTGAATGCCTGTTATCAACAGCGATCTTAATTAGGGTTATGTTATAGGAGATTCAATTTACGCAGAATTCTCGACACTCCAAACTGGGTCTGTGTGATATGCTGTTGCGGAGTTCGTATGGATTCGCTGAGTTGGGCTGCTTGTTTTCATGGTTGACTAATGTGGATACAATCGAGATTTTGATTCTTTCAATGAAAATCCTACGTTGTGGATGACCAGGTGGTCGATGACGATGAGGAGGAATTCGAACCACTCTTCAACTACAGCCAAACAGTTGGTCCAGCTCCAACATTTTTAAGTGGTTAGTGAACCTTATCAGTCACTGTGATCATATTTTAGTGATATCAGAAGCTCATCAGAGTTGCAATCACTTTCCTATTGTGAAGTAATACCCTTAAAGACTGTAATTTCTATCATTTATGATTGTCGTGGAAACAGATGAAAGTGATAATGACGAGGTCATATTCACATCAGCACCCAAGCGTAGGCCTGAAATTCAGTCATCTAAGGTTTGTGGGCATTCTTTCAATTGGTTAAACAAAAAATGGATTTACTGGTGATATTCTTAAGTTCGATGTCTGTAGATGGTTTTGATAATCACCAATTAGAATGTGGATACAAGATGGTATTTCCCGTCAACTGGTGAGTTCTCGCTGAAGGTTTGCCACCTCTGCGGCACTCCATTCTCCCATTATTAGTCTCGGGTGGAGTGGAATGTATTTCCAGGAAATAAGTAAGGCTCTACGAGTTATATCTGCATGACTGTCCTTCAATGCTGGTTTGATCCATTCTGATCACAAGCTTGGCTGTGACTAGAAGCAATCTGCAGCAGCCCCACAGAAGGTCCCCGCCAGACAGCCAAACTTGGATGACGACGACGACAGCTGGTTGATGTCTTTGCCTCCCAAGCAGCCGAAGCAACCTCAACCTGAAATTGTTACAGAAAACTGTGCATTACAACTGTTGAGGTTAAATTTCTTTTCAAGTCTGATTTCTGTGTTCGAGCATGTGAAACTCGTCTTCTAGTATCCAGGAACTGCTCTTCAGAGGTGCATAACTTTCAGCAGCTAGGAGATTGCAAAGGGGACATTCCATTCTTGTGAAGTCCAATTAAAAAAACATGTATTTTATTGTTTCTTCGTCGTATTCAGGGAGAAGAGAAGAGAGTTAATGTTGTTGGAGCAAAAAGCTTCACCAGGGGCAATTAGAAATATTGAGGAACTAGCAAGGATGGAAGCACAATATCGTCCCGAACCGGAGCCGCCTGTGATCGTGAAGGCGCCCACTACGAAATCTGACGAGTCACTAACGGGAGAGGCCGCTGCAACTGGAAAGGGAAAAATCTTGCTTAAAGTTCAAAACAAGGCTGAAAATTCTCAATCTATCAGGATATACACGGTAAGCACATTCGAGCCTATGGTTTACAGCAACAAGGAAACCAGAATTGTTTTTGCCAGATGTCTGAAACAATATTCTTTCACCCTCGTTTCTAAACCAAATTCTATTTTTTTTTTTTTTTGGCTTGTTCATTACTTTCATCTTGACCCCACACTCACTAGGTCCTGTTGGGTCCCAACAATTTTCTTGTAGATTAATTGCAACAGGTTGCGTTGGGGTACCCTGGAACTGGTTTCTAAGTCTGTCCATGAGTGAGGGAAGTAACTCACTGTTATTTTTGTGAATGTAAATTGGACAGACCGACAAATTTGAGAAGCTATTTACTGTGTATGCGAAAATGGCTAAAGCTCCTCTTGCAAACATGACTTTTCGTTTTGATGGAGACCAGCTGTCTCCCAATAGTACTCCTGAGGAGCATGACATGGAGGATGGTGACATCATTGAAGTTCATGATAAGAGGTGACTGAGCTTGTAAGTTGTAAATGTATATTAAGTTGTTGCTACAGACCCTTTGCTGAAATGATGGCCTTACAAACGACAATTGTATTTTATAAAGATAATCAATTTCAAATATAAAGGTTTTACATAGAATTTCGTCAATGGGGCTTGCATGCATTTTGATTGATAAAGAAAGAAAAAACCCTTAAATGAAGGTAAATGTTTTTTCTAGTGACTTCTGCATGAAAGTCAGAAGAAATGCATGAATACGATACTCTTGTAGGCTCAGCTCATGCAACTAAATATCTCTTCACTTTTCTATTAAAGGTATTTTTTACAAATCAGATATGAGAAAAAAAACAAATTGAACTTCTAAGATTGAATGGTCTTGTAGGAATGACTGTAGACTTAAAATAAAATCAAAATCTAACTACTTTTTTGGTTTTTTATATAAAATTTTTAATAATGTAGAATTACTGATACTTGATTTTTTTTGTTAAAATTATATATGATATTAAGTTTTGTAATTACGTATTAAGTATACAACTTTAGATTTGAACTTATAATAAAACTAGATCTTTTAAAGAAAAGAAAAGAAAACATATTTTTAATATGTTTCGGTATTTTTACAATTTGTACAAGGAATCTTAGATTTAAATGACAAGTATTAAGAGCAGTTTGAACTATTTAAAATGAAATAGCAATGATATGATTTTTATTCTATTTCTTACATAAATTCAGATTGGATAACTATTTTGCACATCCATCTTAATTTGATGAATCGAAAGTATAATTTTACCAAACATGTTTGGTAAACATATTTACCAATTGTGTGTTTATTTACCCTTTTAATACAACATTAAAAAATGTCAAATGTATTTCTTCCTAATATAGATAAAACTACATGTAGTCAATTATAAAAATTCTTTGATATAAATTTCTAAAAATGAAGAGTTAGAATTAATACTATTATGATTGTTAATAAATGTAAGATAGTTGGCAAAATTATTAAAAATACAAAAAAATAAAAAAATAAAAAATATTTAAGATATTTGTAATTTGATATATATATATATATATATATTTATATAATACCATATATCTAAGATTAATAATAATAAAAAAATCATTAATATCAAAATATGATTTCTATATATAACTTATTTTTGACTTAAAAATAAAGGATGTAACATTTGAATCTAACAATCTTAATTTTTTTTTCAGTAGTTTAATTGCTTCTTATAATTTTCTGTATTTTATTAAAAAATTGAATAGAATATTAATTATTAGGATTATACTCATACTCTTTAAAAAATGAATTAACAATATTTATATTATCTTTAAGATTATAGAAATATTTGTAATTCAAAAATTTTAAAAATGGTAATTATATCTAAACACTAAATCAATGCATAGTAGAAGTTAAGATAAATCTACCTCCATATCAAATATTAGGAGGGTGCAAATTTTTGAAACAATTTTTCATTCATCTCTATAGCTTTAGATAGGAGATAAGTTCACAAAAATTAAAAGTTGCCCAATTGATTTAATTGAGGTTATGAATTTAGCATAGAGATTTAAAGATATAAGAATTAAGAGTGTAGCTTAAGGAATTAAGAACAACAAATTTAAGAGTGTAATCAAATGACTTAAGAATGGATGAAAGACTTATTGAAATAGTGTTAGTAGAAAAAACAAAGACTATTGTATTACACTCTCATACATCTTGTACTTCCATGCGAGTTTGATTTAAAAACTTTGAAGTACCAAAGAAATATACTTCCTATATAGAATACAACCTATGCTTGGCATTAATAAACAATTAAGGTTATTTATTAAAATAGTATTATATCTATGGCTAGTAGACATATAATTTAGAATAAATATCATATATATCCTTGAAATATATTGAAATATCAAGAATATCTATATATTTTCAATAAAAAGAAATCTATTGCTCATTTTTGTAAAAATATCAAAACTATCCTTGAACTTAATAAGGTATTATAAGTTTTTTTTTTAAACTGCAATTAGAGCCAAACTTGCTGCCATAGACATACATATTTACTACAATAGTTATCTAGATGATTGAAAGGTTAGAAACTTGGCCAACAAGTTAATCACATATCTTGTAGCTTGTAGTACAAGCTAACCATGTGGTGCACATATAAGAAACTTCCCTTGCAAGTTAAGACATGTGTTGGAGGTCTTATAGAACTTCGCTATATAACTCTTAATGAGATAGTATATATAGGGACAAGAGTAAAGCCTTCTTCACTCTAATCAACTTTGTTTTTTGCTTCTAGTCTAGTTTCAAAGGTTTCTAGTTTTCTTACCTTTTGGCAATAGCTATTCTAGTTTATTCTTCTATATATATATATATATATATATATATATATATATATATGTATTATTTATCTCTTATTGATATGTATTTCACTTGTTTGTGTATCTTATTTGAGTTTTTGTTCTTAAGAGATTGACAATAGTACACTTATAATATAATAGTTTTGTCTTTTTTTTTTTATTAAGAGTAGATTATTCTTCTTTTTTGATAAGACATAAGCATATTAGAGATTGCAAATTATCTTTTTTTAAATTAATATTGGTCTTAATATTTTTTTTTTTTCTAAAGTCATGTCTTTTATTTGTTTTAAGTGATATTAGACATTTTATTTTCTCTTATTTTATCAAAGTAGAGCTTCTTGAAATAAAGAATGCAATAATATAAATGCAAGAAAAATTAAGAGTTAATGCTTACAATGCATCAATTCAATTTACCACCACAAAGAACAATAAGATTGACAAGAAGTAAAGATATAAAAATGATGAGAGTTGCTTCAATATCTATATCAAATCATATTACTTCTCTTAGGGTAGAATATTATTCAAGCATTAAAAAATCAAGAATTTCCCTACCTAAAAAATTAATGGCACGTGATTAAAGTTTTGAAGATTTATCAACCAAGTATAATTGGTAATTAAACTTCAATTCTAAAATTTTGCAATTTTAATATTATAAGTCAAGTTTATTAAAACACTTCTTTCAAGTTTTGCATTGTCATAGTTTTCACCTTTTCTTGAACAACAAGATTCAATAATGGAAAATTTAGAAGTCTTTTTGGCAAATTTTTTATCTATATATAAAAAATATGATGAAATTTGTATTGTAACCAACAAGATCCATATTTTGCAACAAGACAATCAATTATTAATATTATATGCTTTATAATTTTAATAACTTACAACAAATATTAAGTGGAATGATACTATAGTCATTAGCCAATTTTTCTTTAGATTATAATATAAGATAAAGAAATGGATGCTAAACTTATTTGATTTTCAAACATTTAGTTAAGTAATTGACTTTGTTGTGAAGTGTGATAATTAATTATTTGAATTTTAATATAAAAGCCACAAGTAGACGTCAATGCTTTTACAATTCAATAAAAATACCTACGTCTTCTCAATACATGTATGTAAAAGTGAGCAATATGCAAATTAATGCAATGCATTTCAAACTTCTTATCAAACAAAAAAAGACATGTCATCATCAAGAAAGATTGTGCTTATATTTTGGTAAATCTAAATATACCATATAATATTGTTCAAAGAAGTGATGCAACCACAAAATAAGAAGTATGGTTGCCAAAGAAAACAACATGTTGAAAAACAAGTTTATCTAGCTACAATAGAAATTATGTGGCTAAAATCTTATACAATATTTAGTAAAAAGTCATATTCTCTCTTCAAAACCCTCTCTTTGTTTTACAATAGATATTAGTATATGACCTAAACATTACAAAGTCTTTGCTTTACTAGATTTAAATTTTTTTTTTTTTTTTTTAAATGAAGAATTTGTTAAAAGATATAGCATCTTTTTTTTTAAAAAAACTAAATTAGTACATATAGAAGTTAATGATAGTCGTCTATAATCTTTTAGAGAAGTTATCCATGAAATTCTTCTTATAGAAGTAGCAATAAGTACTTATAATAACTTTATAATATTCAATATTATTAGATTTTTTTTAATTTAATTATTTTAGGTTTATTATTGCTCAAAAAGTATAATTCTTGAAGACATTAGATTTCTTGTAGTCTTGATTTTTTCTATAGTATAATTAAGAGTGATGTTAACTAAGTAAAAAGTCATATGTTTAGTACAACCAAATTTGTATTTGTAGATGTAAGAGCTTTCTTACATGTTGTAAAAAGAAAGAGCATATTGTATGATTTATGCCTCATTTGTTTATAATAGTGGAAAGATTTCAAGTGGCATTTCTAGCTAATATGAAGATTATTGAGATGTTTTTGAAAAAAAAAAATGTAGATATTATTCCTAAGTATTGTCTTTATGATTGATCAATTGACCTTCAAGAAGGTGCTTAAGTATTATTTAGACCAATCTATAATTTATTATAAAATAAGTTGACTGAATTTCAAGAATACCTGAATGAGAATTTAGCCAAAAATTTATATGCCATTCACAATCCTTAGCATGAGCTTCTATCATATTTGTAAAAAAAATAAGATAGATTATTGTGGATATGTAGCTTATTAAGGATTTAACAAGATTATCATGAAAAAAAAATACCTTCTATATTTGATATTTAGATGTTTGATTAATTTAATTAAGATAAAATATATATAAAAATAAATCTATAAAAAGAATATAATTTGATATACATTAAAGATAAAAATGAATAGAAGCCTGTATTTTGAATCAAGTATAGACATTTTAAAAATAATGTCATGCCTTTTAGACTCATAAATGTACCAAGAGCTTTTCCATATCTAATGAATGATGTCTTTTAAGAAATTTTTGGATGATTTTGTTGTTTGTTATCTAAATGACATCTTAATCTATTCTAAAAACACAAAAGAATATAAACTTTATGTTTGTTGTGTGTTATAAAAAGAAAGAGATGCATAACTTTATGCCAAGATAAAAAAAAAGTGTATATTTTATACTACTCAAGTTGACTTCTTAGGATAAATTATTTTAAATGATGGATTCATGATCGATCCTAAGAAAGTTCAAAATATTATGGATTGGAAGATCTCAAAAATAATAAGAAATGTCTAATGTTTTTAAAGATTTATCAATTATTGTCAAATCTTCATTAAGAATTTTTTTCAAGTTGGAGTTTCATTTACGTGTT